GGAATAACGACCAAAAGCTGAGTGTGCTGAACCTAACTTGGGAGATAACGGCATAGTTTCTAATTGCTGTGTGCCTATCTGGCTTCTCTCTCACGCTCTCTCTCTCTCTCTCTGTCTCATACAAGTTGCAGTGTGCCTTTAGACATACATACACTTACATGTGTATGAATACATTTTGTTCGTGTGCCTTTATTCTTGGCATTTTTATGCGTTGAGCGATTATGCTTCGCAAAATTCAACAGTTTCCAGTCCCTATGGGCCGTTAGCATGGGCTGGCAACGAGTCTGCTAGCCCTGCGATAAGTATTCACGAAATGCGCACACTAACCGTCCAGGGTATGGCCACGATCGCTTCCAGTTACATGAAATCGTGAGATCAGGCCAGGCCTAGTTTTGATCCGCAGATCCAACCTGTCTTGTAGATGCTGCCTCCTGCTTGGACTATCTCAATCGGCGGCAGGTGTTTTTGTACAAAATGATGAATGACCCCAGCCACAAGGCGATGCTGTACTTCCTCGAGGTGCTGATGAACTCCGAGACGCCACTCACCGTCGACGACTTGGCCGCCCGGTTTTCGCACAAAACCTTCAGCGCCGACATGAAAGAGGCTTGTGGTGGCGGCAGTGCCGACGGTCTACGCGACTTCTTACAGCGCTATCCCTCCCTTTTCAACGTGCGCCCCTCCGGCGTAGTCACCTCCGTGGCTATTGACCTGCCCGGCATGGACGACCTGTCGGACGCCCATGAGCTCGAGTCCGTCAAGGCCGGCCTGAACGGTGTCAGCTGTAGTAAGGCGGGAAGCGGTCTCAGCAACCCCACCTGTCCGTCTCGACCGCCCGGCAACCTAACTCTAATCGACGGCGGTGGCGGTGGCGGCCTCGACTGCTCCGGTCACAACCCTCGACCGGGACTCGGAGTCGGGGTCGGCCATCGGCTCGCCGCGCAGACCGCAGCATACAGTGGGCCGGGCTGTTGTCGAGGCGGGCTCGATTGTATGGCCTGTACCAAGACCGGCCCTGCCGCTGAGGCCGAGCAGAGGCCGCGGACGACGGTCTCGTCGGCCGACTCGCTCGCCTCCCTCGCCTCGTCCAGCTCCACTGGCTCCGGCTCCCTGGCCTCTTCGGCCTCGGAGACCGGCAGCCGGCAGTCCACGGGCTCCACGACGAACGGCGGCCTTGACGACTGTCAGGCCCACCGACAGCTCGGCCTCTTCTCGCTGGCCAAAGAGTGCTGTCGCCCCGGCCTGCACCCCTCCAGCCTCGTCATGTCGGCTTCCGGTTGTCCCACATGCGCCGCAGCCGCCGCCCTCCACTGCCCCGAGGAGTCCGGCTGCGGCCACCTCCATCCCCACGGCCCGACGACATGTGGCCACGTCACCTGCAGCCACACGCACGCTCATCAACTGCCACACGCCTGCTCACATTCACACTCACATTCACACTCACACACCCACGCTCACCCACACACCCATGCACACGCTCACTCACACGCACTCACACACGGACATACGCATGGATTAGGCCACATGCACCATCACCACCATCACCACGGCCACGTGCACGGCCATCCGGTGTTGGTGAGTCCTGGCAGCGGCAAGTCGACCGCCGGCGCCACTCCCGACGAGGTTTGCAGCTGGGCCTGCCCCGGCGCCTGTACCATGCCCTCGGCCGCGGGCAACAAGACGGCGGCCGTCTGCAAGCACCAGCACCGCATGTGCGGTGGCGAGCTTGTCGTCTACAACGAGGCGCTAGGCGGTTGCGCAGGCTGCGGCAACGGAGGAGCTGGGGCAACCGGCGGGGCTGGAAGGAGCGGTAGTCCCGGCATCAGTGGCCTCCGGCCTCAGCAGCCCTTTCACCATCCGATCGGCATGTCGCCCATGACGGCGTTCATCCACGAGACCGAGGCAGTCAAGTTCTTCCAACAGCGTCTGCTGAAGCGCGAGGAGCGCTGGGTGCTAATCAAAAGCCTCGCGGGTCATCTGTCCCAGGCGACGCCAGAGATCCGCGCCGTGGTCGGGCCTCAGCTCGAGTTCCGTCGCTTCCTCCTCCGACACACGCACATCTTTGAGGTGCAAGGCGACTTGGTCAGTCTGAAAGAGGCCTTCGCGCCGCCCGTCTGTAGCCTCGGCACGGCTTCCGGCCAGCGCCGGCCCAGGTCACACCATCCAGCGCTCGCTGGCTCCCTCTCCGGCTCCGGCTCCGGCTCGGGCTCCGGCTCCGGCAGCCTCGGACTTGTCTCCTCGACCAGCCTCTCGCGGCGTCAAGGCGTCACGGTCGGCCGCGCCATTCGTCCGAGGTCGCTGATTCTGCCCGGCTCCAACAACAGCCTGGCCGGACTCGTCTCCTCCAGCGGTCTTGGACTGGGACTCGGTCTCGAGGCCAAAGGCCTGCTGTTGCCCGTCTCCGCCTCCGCCTCCGTACCTGTCTCCATGACATCAAGTGCCGGAGCCGAGGTATCGCGCAGTCTTTTCCGTCGCAGCCAAGCCATGATGCCGATCGCCACGCCCGCCTGTGGCCCCTCGACCTCAGCCCCAACGACGCCGACGGCCGCAGGCTCGAATCCCGGCTCGTTCCGTCGCGGCCACGTGATCTACGCTCCCGAGGCGCCGCTACTCCCCCCTCCGCCCGACAGCCCCGACCACCTCGTGTCGACCGCAGGCCTCTCGCTCCTGCCTAACTCCACGACCTCGGGCTCGAGTCCCGCTCTGACCAGCCTGGCGGCACTCGGCCAGAATGCCGTCTCCTCAACGACCAGTCCTTCTGGTCAGCTGGCCTCCAGCCAGACGCCGGGCGTCAACGGCAGCATCTGCATCAACATGTGCGCCAATGAGTATCGGTCTTTGATGTTTTTGCGAAAGGTGTTGGAGAAAAAAGGCGGCGCCCCCGGACAGGCCGGTCTGACGCTGGGCCAGCTGATGCGCATCATCTCAACACGGGCGCCCGAGTCCGTCCAGAATACCATCGGATGGACGAAGATTGAACTGGAGGAATTCTTGCGTCAGCACTCGATCTTCTTCGAGCTGGTCTCCGTCGAGGCGGGCGGCGTGAATCACGCAGATTCCGGCGATCGTGAGGCGGTCATCGCGACCACAGCTGCAGGCGTGACGTCTTCATTGGCCTCTTCGACGACGACAACCGTCGAGACTGCGGTGCTGGCCAGCCGGACGGAGACGACAGGAGTCCAAATGCCTTCGTCCAGTTCGAGTGATTCGCTCGTGGAGGAAGTGCGAGTGTGCAACCGACGACTGAAGCGAATGATCAACATTCTCATCATGAGCAGCAAGCCGAACGGAATGGCGAAGCGGACGCTAACCAACCGGAAGGGCCGGATCTTCAACGTTGCCAAACTGTGGGGCATTATTGATCTTGGCCGACATGAGCACGTCTTCTTCGACAAGTCCATATTCCGCTATGTTGACGATCTGCAGAAGCATTTCAAGGTAAGCAGCGAAGACCGTTCAACTGTGAATTCCCCTCCATCAATCCTACCCCCTCGGCTTATACTCTCGGAAGATCGGACAAGTCTTTTTAACTGGTTTGCTTTATTCCTTGAGGCCTCTATTTTGTTCACCGTCTACTTGTGATATAAAGAATTAGTCTGGCCTCGTTTGCGCAACTTGATCGTGTTGTCAGGGCGACTTAGTTGGACGCATCTTGTCCGAAGTCCTCTGCTATAGTAGTTACCATTATTCGCAGTTTCTGACCGTGGACTTGCAACATTCTCAGACGTTTGGCCGGCATCTTATTTGATATCCTTAATGAGTCTTGCCATTCTCAGCACTAAGCAACAACTCGTCAAAGAGACTAGGTGTATACTATTGGGTCAGACTGAAAACACGACCAAGTAGCGTAAACGAGGGCAGACCACTTATATGCTTTTTGTAGGTTCAATTTTCTAAAGGTATGAAGACCAAGATGGTGTGGCCTTTTGTGTGGTCGCAATCTCCTTTCGTTGTATAGA